AAAAACCCAATACTCGACTAACGAAAAAGCTGGTTTTTCCCATAAACAATATTACCTACTAGCCGCGTTGGTAGGAGGCTTTTTCCTCCTATCTTCATAACCTATAACCAATTGGCATCGTGGATCGTTACCCTCACTTATCCTAACGGAAGGTGCGAACAGCGAATCCGCATTGTTAATTTAAAAGGGCACATCTACACCGAGCTTTCCTCCGTAATGAAACGAGAACACCTAGGGGAGAAATAGAAAGAATACTATCGAATAGTGCACGTCTCTCCGATCAGTGTAAACCTGTGCTGTGAAATAAAGACGATAGTTGTGTTACGACTCAGCTATTTTTTATTTTCATCAACTAACCCCTAAGTTTACGTGACAGGGTTATCGTCGGGTGTATATCAGAGGCGGCTATTCCGTTACTAGCTGATTATTGTTTCGATAGCTGTGACATGCAGGGTGTTTCGTCTACCCTATGACTGCTTCTGAGCATGTGACATTCTTGAGCATCTTGCCGAAATAACCGATGCCGGCCCAAACCATCACGCTGCCTCCTCCCATTTGACTTCAAATTGCCAACATTGGCTCTTTTCTTACGTCATGAAAATAATATTGGAACCCATCAGGATCATCCAAGTTGAAGATTTTTCGCCTGAAAATAGTACCCTTCTTCATTTCTTTTCCAATGCATTCTTTCTTTTGCAACGCGTAAACGTTCTATTTTGTGCTTTGTTCTTAACGAAGGTTTCTTTTTCAATTTTAGCCTCTTAACCTCTTTGCAGTATAGTAGAATTCGTCGAACACTTGAAACACTGGCACTAACACTAGATTTTTTCATTATTTCCTTCGTTGCTAACTGCGAGTTCCAACTTGCTACACGCAAAATTGCTCGCTTATCACGATCGGATAAAGATTACAACCGACCAGTGCTTTTCTTTCTGTTATAATCTTCAACATTTTTTAAAAAATTGTGTATTACTTTACGACTTCTTCTTATTACTTTCGATATTTTTGCTACTAATAACTGTTGCTGTTTTAGTTCAAGAATTTGCTTTTTTCAGACTCGTTTAATTTGTTCCGCATCCCATACTTACAAATTTATATAATATTGTAGCGACACACGAGCTGAAGGACAAATCGAGCCACGTGTGGTCTTACCTCGGAGTATCAACAACGTTAGGATATCCTGTGAGAATATGTAAACTTCGGACAAAAACAATGTCGCCGCTTCGTGGAACCGTCTAACAAAGGCGAATGGAAATTTACCGGTACCCCCTCGACCAGCATAAATAAATAAACGCGATCGTAAGGTAACCAATTTTCATCAGTCTCAGTCGCGTGCGATATTATTAGCAAGTTATACACAGTTTTAGCGAATCTGTTAGTACCGAGCGTCTTAACGAACATCCTTCGTATCTATTTATTATTTCAGAATTCACTCGACGATTTTAACAAAGAGTTATCATGTCATTTAAAACCACACGACCAACCATACTTCCACAATATTCTAACTGTAATATTTAGATTCATTTCATAGATCATGAAGTACCGAGCAATTTCTAAACATATTAACAGAATGTGCTATCATTTCGACCTTGGTATGAAACAGTTTTTCTTCATTAACGACATTGTGACTTATTTCCAGCAAGTCGCATATTCTGAGTTCATAATGTTTCGATATTATACGTTTCAGACGAAAAATGTTACACGCGTCATTGAGAAATTAAAAATAGCACACCTGGGCAGTCGCGAGAATAATGTCGCGAGAAAGCCTAAGTGCTGACAGCCCCAACAATCTGTAGCGGTACATGAGCTGGAGGAAAAATCGAGCCACGTGTGGTCTTGCCTCGGAATATTCACAACGTTAGGACATACTATAATAATAATAAGTAACCTTCGGGCAAAAACAATGTCGCCGCTTCGTGGAACCGTCTAACAAAGGTGAATGGAAATTTACCGGTACCAGCATAAATAAACGAACGCGATCCTAAGATGGCCAGTTTTCATCAGTCTCAGTCGCGTGCGATCTCTTTAGCGAGTTACACACAGTCTTAGCGAATTAGTACCAAGCGTCTTAGCGAACATTCTTTTAACGACCAGTATCGAGCAATCTACGGTTTTCTCTGTATTTATAATTACTTAAAAATATATTTGACGGTTTCAATATCGAGTAATCTCGTCATTAAACTACCACACGTTTTACATGTTCTTTTAATGAACATTGTGGGTTTTAATATTGTTTAAATGTTAGTGTTTTATTATTATTTATCGTTGTTCGTTATTATTGTTCTAATTTGTGACTATTAATCATTTATTAATTATTGGTATGTTTCAGGTGCGTGCCATGATGTATCGATGTCCTGATGTTTTGTGTAAGTAAATAAGTTTTTACGTCATGGATATTCATTTGTTATAATTAATTTAACTTCTCGTGTTACTTTCATTTTCTGTATTGATGCGCTCGTCAACATGGATATTTGGATTCTTGAATTTATTATTTTAATTCAGACTCGTGTCATTTGACTTGTATACTATACATGAGGTGGTGTTTGGTGTAAGGTGCCCAAGAAATACTCGGCGGTGTTCAACAATATAATTTATTTAACAATCAACAATCCTCGATTATCGCTGACTTTCTTGCTTCTCGACTATGCTTATATCACGTAATATTCGTGAGAAGAAAATGAAAAATAGATGAGGTGAGGAGGATCTCCAACTCTTATATTTTCTTTTACGATATTTATTGATCAAGTATAAGAATAGAATAGATTTACAATATGTAACGTTAGCGTATAGTTCCGAAGTATGGCCGAGGGCCGACAAGATTTGTCAAGACTGCAGTTTCTGGGTAGATGCTCGGCTTTTATATCCTAAAAGTATTGGTGCTAAAGGGCAATGGTGGAAGTTGTGGGTGCCGTGTGCAAAAGCTGATAATGGCTATTTAGATGACGTCATTTGAGGTGTGGTGGCTGTCTCATTTCCCCCTTCTTAGAATGATTTTGGTTTTCCAAAATCCTAACGTTTATTCATTTTGGATTTGTGGAATCGCACTTTGGTAGGTGCTCGTCTGAATTTGTTCCAAGTATTCTGTTTCATCTTCTTCGTCCAAGTGGCGGATGGCTAAAGTGTTTTGCGATATTTCTGTGTATATGTTTAGAGGTATTGGATTTGTCGCAATATTTTGGATGTTATTCCTAGTTTTACAACATGATAAATGAATACATAGGTTTATAGGTAAAGATTTTAATAGATAGCTGCAACATAACCGACTATTTGTAAAAATGAGAGTCCTCATGATTTAAGAGACTGTATTCGTTAGTTGATTGATTTGGTCGGATATTTGGTCTAAGTTATTCTGATATTCTGGTATGTTATGTGGCGGATTGGTATCAATAGGATGCCGACAGGTCGAGCCGCGGGTACCAACCGCCAACACTAGAGGGCTATGACGACAACGAGTCTATCTGTCTAACTCGCTAGCGGTCGAATATACGAGCGATTGATACAAATACCGCACCTAGCGAGACTCCCTCTACGTCTAAGGCAGGGACTACCGGGCTTAGCCTTACTGACGAGTCCATCGGTAGTCCCGGGACGAAACGCACAACTTTCTCACTCTCTTTTCATACGCCACAGTTACTAGGAATTCTAGGTGTTCTTTCGATTTTGTCTAACAAATAACCTATTCTTGTATCATTTTCAAAGGGAATCGTCTTGAGCTTATATTCAAATGTTATATTGACTTTGCATTGTCCTATCTTCTTTATACTATTGTTGAATATTATGCATATTACATTGTTCATCAGGTGACTGAATTATAGAAGGTCTTCCTATTTTAATTTGTTTCTGAGTATCATCACAAAGTACATGTATTTCAATTTCTTCTTTTGGTATAGCTATATATTGGTTTTCAGCTGTTAATGGAATGAAAGTTACATCTTCGATTTTATAAACGGCAAATCTACAAATGTTTATTCTTTTGATAAAGTTCATTATTTCTCACGCACAGTCGTGGATAAATTTCTTGTCATGTGTCGCTTCAGTTTGTTTGCACATTGTAATTCCTATTTTTATATTAGAATTATGATCGATGTATTCATTATCAACGTTAATGTATGTATATTGTTGTGTAAAAAATATTGGATGTTCAAATACTGGTGTCAGAAATGCTTGGCCTCTTTTGGTGAGTATGAGGTATACTCGCACTATATCCCATGCCAAGCCCGTTAATAAGGGTACAGTTATTTTGAAGAAAACTTTGGTCTTGATAGCGAATACCGTCAATTTCGATATATCTAATGTGGTGGATGGAGTAGAGGATTGTAATATAGAATAACGAGAACGAGAGATTGCTGTCGCATCCCGTCAAATATATTTGGAATAAATTATATAAATTGGTAAATATAAATATATGTCGGGTTTGCATTAGAATTAGGGTTAGGGGCGTGAAACGAATCTTCGTTTGGGTTACACGTTGTCGTTATGCAATAGAGAAGACATTGACTAGTGCAAATATGATTATTATAGAGCCGGACAAGTAACCGTGGTAGTTAGGTACTCGAGAAACTAATGACAATGATCCTAGGTTCAATAACGAATCCGCGGTCGACGGGATGATAGA